AGCTACCAAATAAGGGTAGTGAAATAGGATACCACAAAGAATGAACCACAATCTACTAGCTGAATTACTAAATTCAGGGTATTAACAATTGGAAGAGCTATTTTTTGAGCAAGCATAAGTTCAACTTAAACAATTATATAAAATGTGTGCCTGCGTCACAATATTGTTGATATGAGTTGTAGGCAGCTTTTAAATTACATTTAGAAAAGGTGATACCATTGTTGGATAAACAATACTTTTTTAAAAGAAGCATTTAGGTTGTCATTACCATAATAATATAATGGAAGGTACTTTACAATAAAATTTAAAACTCAAAAGTTTATTAATGGTTAAAATTGCTATATTAACCAGCGAAGATACAAAATGGTTGAAGAAATCTAACATTAATTAAAAATATTATTTTTCTGCCTTCTACAAGATCAAGTATGTGTAGCACTGTTATTAAAGCAAATCATATTAAATGATTAACCTGCATTTGAATAATCACATATAGTGGGTTTAGAATGGAATTACCATGAGTATGAAAATTGGATGAGTAGCATTAACAATCAGAATTGGACATTATTGTAGCAATCATTTCTTTCAGGATGAGTCACATGTTGTTGAGCAAACTCCTTACTAGGCATCGCTATATAATACACATATAACATAATCAGTAGTTTTTATATAATTTACAGAAAGGAATAATAAATTTTTAATTTCCATAAATATTACTGCATCCAACTTACCTTTGAGTGTTGATGGCTTTTATTATATATAACACTATCAGAATGTGTATGTGCCTAAAATCTAAGAAAAATAGGTACCCCCTGTAAGAATATGTTAAGCCTGATATAGAGGTTGCAAAAACGATTTGAAGGGAATAATTATAAGATTCTTTTCGTTGATTTAGATCACCCTATTTTTTCATGCTGCAAATGGTGAAATCATCTTACTACTCTTTAATCTCATTATTAATTTGGAGCAATCTGATGGTAGGTAGAATAATGACTAACATGGCAATCACAAGTATATTTTGGTCAATTTTTGTGGAATTGATTTTGGAGTAGATGTTAATAGTTTTGGCTACTTAATCTAATCATGGACATTTAATTAATTATTGATTTATTTATAGCAATATCATGCTTCCTTTTTGTATTTACAGATGGATGCAATGCAAGGAGTTCTAAAATTCAAGCATTTGATTATTTAAGTTATGATGGCTAAACTTTTAGTATTTTTTTTTTTAATTTGATATTCAGTAAATTTATATGTTGATCCTCCCATGTTTAATGTATTATATTAATCTTAAAATGTTGTTCAATCACTCATGTTCTACACTTCAGACTATTTATACTAAGTATCAAATAATGGATATGGCACATTTCTAACAATAAGCGTTTAATGATAAATTAAATTTATTTACTCAACCTGAGATTTACTTGACTCAGCTTAGTTGAATCATTAAGTAATATATAACTTGCTTATAATTAATTTTAATCCTAAACAAAAAAGATCAGTGCATTCTGTGTCATTACTTGCTTTTGCAAATAATTTTCAAAGTATTGTTGGTATTAGGACATTATCAAATTTACATCCAAAGTAACACAAGTGACAGTTGTGAGTGCTATTTTTAGTATGAATTACTATTATGACTTGTTGGAAGTATCAAGGTATTGCGTGCAAGAGACTGAATCTGAATTAGAAGGGTAAATCTCTATGATTAAGATTGAGCAATCAAAACAACAGTTACAATTGTTGTTACAATGATAATAACAAACTACATAAATTTTACAAGATAATACATATTTAGGAAATTATATTATAGTGTTTAAGTGCATGAGTCATTTAAGTACATGAGAATTATTAGCTTAATATTTGACACAAATTGCATAATTTTTAAATAATTTATTAAATATGTGGATATAATATTGTTTTGCAGATTCACTCGATAAGACATGATGTGCTATTTTTAAGATTGAGTAGATTAACTCTTCTTCTGTATTATTCGGTTCTAAGAGAGGCACTGAGAAGACAAATGATTGTGCAATATTGAAAAAAGAAAAAGTAGCGAAATATTACTAAATTCAATCTTGAAATTCGAAAACAGTAGGGGCAAATTTCGCTAGGGTTGCTCTTGGTGTAAGCACTGTAAAAGGGTCACAAAATTTATTATTTGAGACAGGTTTACACTTGAAGCATATTTTATTCAATATTAATTACTTCTCTGCCCTCAAAAAACAGGATAGATAACAAGTTCACTAAATCTATATACATCTTATAAGAATAAATTTAAGGTTGTTAGGTAAGTGTATCCTCTAAGAAATTTGTACTATTGCAGGTCTCTTAAATATATTCTAAATAAAGACTGATGGTTTAACTTTTAATGATTTAGTTAATTGCACATATTACTCAACTTCTACTTAATTTTCTTCTTCTGTTGAACCTAATGCATTAATTCTTTCTCTTATTGGCCCATTTATTATGTGTTTAAATCATGGAATAAGATTTGCAACTACATGATTTAATTTGCCAAAAAATATTTAGTGCATCATCTGAAACAGAAGATCTTTGTTATTTTAATGCGAAGGGAAATATGTAACCTTTAAATATAAAAAGCACTGAAAAATATTTTTGAAGTAATTCTAGCACAATTAAAAAGTGAAGTTTATGCTGAGCCATGTTCATACTCCATGAATTAAAAAAAGCATTGATTTTATTATTAATGCTTGTCCTCTTTATCAAGGACTAATACTATTTTCAATAACGTCTTAATTATTTCAGTTCTTGTAGGGCTTAAGCATCAAAGTGTTCTTCCAGTACCATATACTTATTGACTTCTGATAGGATATGTAACAGTCCTATTTTACCGTCTTGCTCTAACAATAAAAAATTATTTGAATTAAGTGTGAAGCAGAAACTACAACTGGCAACAATACTTTGGCACAGTATAAGTAGATTGAGTTAATTAAAGGCTTATTATGTTAGTTAGGTAGGTCCTTAACAAAATTAAAAATTTTCTACACTATAATTGCTACCACCATCAAAGAATTAGCACTGCTATCAGTCGATTAAGATGCTGTATTAAGAAAATTAAGCAAAACAACATAATACAAAGCTTTGTTTTAATGGTTTGCGCTTCACTGATAGAACATTTAAGAGCACGTTATTTGTGTCAACTGGCATCAAGAAATTTTGGACTTTTCTTTTGATATTCGAAATATAAATACATAACTAACACGACGCATGCAAGTTTATGAAGAGCCTCTCCAATTCAAACATCAGTAATATACAAATAACAGCATATCAATCCTCCTTTCAAGCAGGGTTTACTGTTAAAGATGATCGGAGGAGTCATCATAATGTCTGCATATTCTTATCTCTTCCTTGAGTTTTCATCACAATATGCACACTATCCACATTCAGATCTGCAAGATGAGCATTATCGACCTCATATAGCTAATCCTATATCTAGTAATTAAGAGTTTCGCAATATTGGAAACTTAAGTTTTCCTTCGAATTTGTAGAAGATTCTTCATATATATAGGAACAAAGAGAGTAATATATAATGAGTGCATGACTTACAAGTTTGATATTAGTTGTAGGCTTCAGAAAAGCATCAAGTGATAGTTTCAAAGAAAGATAAAGGATTTTTCTACATTCCTCACTATTAATAATTAATGTAACAAAATTTATAAAGTGAAGCCTTCAATTAGCAAAAGTTTTTCAATCTTTGTAATAATACAAAGTTTGCTCCAGATAATAATTGTAAACCTAAAAACAATAATCACAAAAGGTTTCTTTAAGTATGAATAAATAATAAGTGTATGCATCTGCGCAATCGCTAATTTATCAGGGCTTTAAGCACCAGGCTATGTAATGCAATTAACCTAGCTCATGTTTGAGTTATGTTGCACAATTTTAAATGATCATGCTTTAAACATTAATAACCTGCATAGCAGTTAATATATCAAGTAGAACAATGACCCAAATGTTTTTTGCTCAAATTCCTAAGAAGTAACTCAAAAGAAGACAATCTCAATATATGAGGTGGTATAAAAATATCCAAAATTATTTAGAATAAATTTTCTTGCAGCTACAATATATTATAAAGTGCACAACACCTGTGCACTTTATAATACATTTATGAATAGAAAGAGTTAGACACAAGTTGCATCAATAAATGGAATTATCCAAATAAAAAAGTAACTGATGGAGACCACTTAGTTTGATGTTTGTACCATATGAGAGCGACGAAAAATTTCATAGGGATTGAAGATTCATATCCAAGAAGATTCTCAAACTTCAAAAATTCGTATAAAGGGTTTTGACTAGTTGTTGATAAATTTAATGAGCTCCATCCTAATATTATTGCACAGTCCAACTCTACAGTGTGCGATCTTATAAGAAGGAGTTTCTTCAGTGTTAAAGTAGTTATTAGGTGTATAAATTAACTATTAATCATACTAATTTTCTTTGTAATGTAATCTTATTGAACTATAAATCTTCCTATATAATTGGGAACATTTTGATTCAAATAAGCAGTTTCATTGTGCCACTGCTCACTTCATTAAGAATAACAATAAAACCTCAGGTTACTACACAAATTTCACTTACATTAATAGATTAAATAGGATTTTCACTGGTAAGTCTAACCAGCAATACATTCCATGAAATAATGACATTTCTATATTTAGTGAATGCTAACACTAAATTTGAATCCATCAGGACAAAACTTTGATCAGTTACAAACCATGGAGGCCTAATTCAAAGGGGGAAAAAGTTGTTATTTTCGACATGATGTAAAGCTTAATAAATGTTAATTAGTGGCACCCAGTAAATTTGATGCAAAGATAATCTAATTAGATCTGTAAATGGTTTATAAGCATTACTATTATGAGAACTAAAACCACTGCATCATACCTTGTCGGGCTATCAGAATGGTTTAGAAATTATTAAGAACTTCCAAATAGCCATTATAAACTTTTCATTTACATCGGCTTGCGAAATCGTCAGCATTTTATTTTTAAAGGAGAGATTAAGCAGAGTCTGGAATGCATAGAATATGCTGAGCATTAATTAGAAAAGCGTAGACCATTTATCCTATGTAATGCATCCCTAGGATCTCAAGTGAATGAACTTCAGACAAGAGTACAACTTATTAAAATAATTACATTTCTAGTGCTCCTTAAATAAAGTTTAAGTTTTCCTTTGTAATAGGAATGAATCATCATAAAATCCTTTATTCTTTTACATTAGTATTAGAGTTTAACTTTTACTGAGTACAACTGTGAATACAAAAATTTGCATGACCTTGGTCCTCCTTGAGCTATTAGTAAATTTGTGGCTTTGCATTCTGGCAAGGTTGATGGTACTGTTCAAATACCAGCAATTGATTATCTGCTTGCACACATAAAAATAAATATACATTATCATTACTTTAATAGCAGAGCAAACAGAAAAAAGATTGTACATTCACACAAACAATACTTACATCCTTGTTTTTACGCATAACATTACACATCTGGTGCGTCTGTGCACTTACAAGATGAATAACTAGTTGATGGTATTGCTTTTAATTTTGAACAAGATTATGAAGCATCACATCTGATTCTAATGCATTACATCTGATTCTAATGCATTACACCGTAATCTTAATATATTGATTCAGAGTATGAATCAGCAATCAACTTAGTTACTAGTCAATAATTTATAAATCTTAGTTTCCATATTAATCAACAGGGATACTTCTTATCTACAGATCCTTTTCCAGTTGCTAAGCAACATTCCATGAATTTCTTACAATCTTCATCAGTTTTTGCTGATCCTTCCTCTTAACATCTTCTGGCAGCAAAGGCTACTTTAACTGATTTATTACCCTTAAATTTAGATCCAGGCAGTGCGGCTATTAGACTTCCCTTCCATTGATGTAAATGAAATAAAAATATCAACACAAGATACTCTATTGGTTTTACAAGTTTGGAGTCAAATCTTACTTATGTAATCAGTATTTCCATCTGCTTTCTAATCACTTTTTCGATCAACAAATTTTCAAATCCAACTTAAATCATATTTATAGCATAATCAATATTGATAGACGACTTTGTTTAATTTATATTGGCTTTCAAAGTAAAAAAATAGTGTTGAATACCCTCAAAATACTTACATCCATACTTATTTGAATAAACATAGCCATCAACCCAAAATAACATCAAAACTTAGTTTTGATAGTACAGATTATTCAAAGTATTTAGAAGCTTTTTCGCATTAATAGAAGATTGCACGCAGTTTATCATGAAATATAGCCCAAATGAGATTCAGTATTGTAGAGTTAGTATGTGTATGCTCAATTAGCTTGATTTGGTTTTCCAACAAAGGTGATGCGTATTCCATAGCATTCTGTTCCATCTTTTTTTTGCCATAAAAAAATTTACAATCCTTTCAGGTCTTTAAGTTGGATGGATTCTATATCTAAGCACATCTTCTATCATACAATTATTACTTGAACTCAAATATTATTAATGCCCAAAGAATTTATTAGACTTAATATTCCTCCATCGTATAAAAAAAATGCTTGTTTTTTTCATTACTTTGGTATGTATCATCAGCATCATTGCATACTCTAACTACTCACTTTAATTCAAAGCGCCAAAAATACAGGTTTTATTAATTATTACCTTGAAAATTAGCTCAAACCTCTATGCTTGTTCCTGGATACTTATTAAAAGTGGCACTAATTCATATGCATTAGGTTTCATATTTTACACACCTATAATAAAAAGACTTACAGAAAATAATGGGGACAAACTTTATCGCCATAAATTCATAGTATGGGAAAAAACTACTCAGCCAATCTCTAATAGCCATATTTAGGTCTACTCTAATGATTGCTTTAATATTATACTACTTCCCATAGTAAATTCAATAGAAATTAGGTGAGAAATGGATCCAATCGCTTTTAAAGGGAAAGATAATTTATATTTTAAAAAGTAGATATAAGCTAAAGGCTTATTTTCATTTCTTAAGGAAATGGGAGTTGAGAAACAGTCCTCGTTTTTCAGATACCTTAGCGTTAAAACGAGTTGCCAACTTACTAAATATCTCTGTTTGAGTTATCCAGGTATGCCCCTATATGTTTAATTCCAATGAAATCACTTCTAACAAATTTATAATATATGCATGATTAATGTCATTCAAGAATAATTCAATTTACTAAGAAATTATTATTAAAAATTTAAATCATGCCTGAAAAAAAACAATAGATAAACACAGCTTATAAGTGATCTTATCTGGAATAGCTAGTTAATAAGGACTTTTAAGTATAATAATCCTTCAAAATCTTCATACGATTGATGTAGTATCAAATATGGTTAGACCCTTACCACTACAAAAAAATTATTGCTAGATTTCAAAAAATATTTATGTAAAAAGGTTTACTTAAATTTTGAATTCCAATTTTACCATCATATATTTTGCCGGGTTTAATATTTTATCAACTTATTTTCTTAGTTTTTTGAATTAATTAGGGATTTTTTTATTTTTTATGGCACAAGTTAGAATATTTATTTAATTCATTTCACTTATTCATAAGCACAACCTTGTATTCCTTATAATCTGGATTTCTATATTAATTCAGATTTTACATTAATTAAAGCCAAGTCTTATAAAGCAAGAGAATATTGAATATAATTTTTATTTATTAATATATTTATAGCCAGTAAGAATGCATAGTTAGTTAATAAATAGCTTTATTANAAAATTTACAATCCTTTCAGGTCTTTAAGTTGGATGGATTCTATATCTAAGCACATCTTCTATCATACAATTATTACTTGAACTCAAATATTATTAATGCCCAAAGAATTTATTAGACTTAATATTCCTCCATCGTATAAAAAAAATGCTTGTTTTTTTCATTACTTTGGTATGTATCATCAGCATCATTGCATACTCTAACTACTCACTTTAATTCAAAGCGCCAAAAATACAGGTTTTATTAATTATTACCTTGAAAATTAGCTCAAACCTCTATGCTTGTTCCTGGATACTTATTAAAAGTGGCACTAATTCATATGCATTAGGTTTCATATTTTACACACCTATAATAAAAAGACTTACAGAAAATAATGGGGACAAACTTTATCGCCATAAATTCATAGTATGGGAAAAAACTACTCAGCCAATCTCTAATAGCCATATTTAGGTCTACTCTAATGATTGCTTTAATATTATACTACTTCCCATAGTAAATTCAATAGAAATTAGGTGAGAAATGGATCCAATCGCTTTTAAAGGGAAAGATAATTTATATTTTAAAAAGTAGATATAAGCTAAAGGCTTATTTTCATTTCTTAAGGAAATGGGAGTTGAGAAACAGTCCTCGTTTTTCAGATACCTTAGCGTTAAAACGAGTTGCCAACTTACTAAATATCTCTGTTTGAGTTATCCAGGTATGCCCCTATATGTTTAATTCCAATGAAATCACTTCTAACAAATTTATAATATATGCATGATTAATGTCATTCAAGAATAATTCAATTTACTAAGAAATTATTATTAAAAATTTAAATCATGCCTGAAAAAAAACAATAGATAAACACAGCTTATAAGTGATCTTATCTGGAATAGCTAGTTAATAAGGACTTTTAAGTATAATAATCCTTCAAAATCTTCATACGATTGATGTAGTATCAAATATGGTTAGACCCTTACCACTACAAAAAAATTATTGCTAGATTTCAAAAAATATTTATGTAAAAAGGTTTACTTAAATTTTGAATTCCAATTTTACCATCATATATTTTGCCGGGTTTAATATTTTATCAACTTATTTTCTTAGTTTTTTGAATTAATTAGGGATTTTTTTATTTTTTATGGCACAAGTTAGAATATTTATTTAATTCATTTCACTTATTCATAAGCACAACCTTGTATTCCTTATAATCTGGATTTCTATATTAATTCAGATTTTACATTAATTAAAGCCAAGTCTTATAAAGCAAGAGAATATTGAATATAATTTTTATTTATTAATATATTTATAGCCAGTAAGAATGTACATGAATAAGTTAATTTCAATATTTTAATTTTTTCATTAGAGATTAGTTGTACATAATTTTATGAACAAATTTAATATTTGATTAAATAATTTAAGTTTGCAATTTTATTTCATATACTTTTGGGCTTTATGTGATGTTAAATTTAATTTTTATAATTTTTAATAAAATCAAAGCAAGAAAATTTTAGTCATCTTTATTCTGGCAATATTTTTTTGTAAATTCCAAATTTCTCATTTAATTTGTCAAAATATTATTTTTGATTTAATCGAGTTATTATAATTCCTATTGAAGATATTAAATAAATCAAAATTAAACAGAGTATTTTGAAGAATCAACCATTATGGAATATACATTGATTTTCATCATAATTTTAAAAGATCAATATTTTGAAATAGAAAATTAAATTTAATTATCTTTTTTTATTTCTATAAATCAGTATTCCTATCCTCTCAAATAAATAACATCATTTTATGTATTTTGAGCTTTTTTTTCTATTTTTTCTATTCATAAAATAATTTGATATCTTTATAGAGGGAAATTCCAAGTTTGATTACTGGTCCCAATAAGCCAAATATCAAGATTAAAATTTAAACAAAGCCTATTAGAATTTATTCATTATATTTCATAATGGTTGAAAAATCTGAACAATAAATTAAACTTGTTAATGTAAAGAACATTACTGGAACTTCCGTCCAAATTATTCCAATTAATTCTATTCTTTCTATATTTTATTTGATCAATAATAATAATCCAATGTAACCTAAACTCAAAAGTGTTAGCATGACACATTGAATTATGCCGCTACTTTATTGAACAGTTAATATTAAGATAAATAGGAGTTTTTTTAATAAAGTTATGCTTTCAAACTATTAAAATCTTAGATTTGAAACTTTCAAGTTTTCATTCATTCCTTTAAAATTCAACAATAAAATGATAATGGTCACCCCCAAAACTAAAAAGCAAATACCATAAGATGTCTTTGATCGATATCCTGTTTCTGTGTTGGAGATCATAAACAAAAAAACTTTAAAAAACAAATCCCAGCAGTTTGCATAAAAAAGTTATATAAAACCTTTACTAGAGTAAATCTTCTTTAATTTTAAGATATTTGTATGAATTTGATATAGCTTAATTATGAGCTGATTGAGCCATTATAATTATTTTTCCCTTATAAAATAAACAGTTCTAAATGTAAAAGCATAATTAAGGGTGATTTTTGGATAAAATTATAAAAATACGTACAATAAACCAATGAAGAAAATTTAAAAGATTTAACTCTAAATATTTAAAAGTAGGTCAGCATTTGTTTGAAATTCTTAAAACTTTCCTATGCTTGGAATGAAGTTCTCAGTAATTAGATTATTAAGAAGATCTGTTATTTTAAAGTATATTAAAATTGGGCTAACAGTTACAATTTCTGAAGATTGAAAATAAATCTATAGATTTTAGGGATAAGAAATATTTACAAATTTCAAATATGATTAAAATTGTAAAAGGTCAAATATTTCCAAACATTGGAATGGTTATCTGAATAATAAAAGCAGTATGCTAATAGCTCCTAAGCCTATAATTAAAACATTTCCAATATCTTGACACTTATTTGCAATAGTAATTTACTTCTAATTGATAACTTTAGGGGTTTTAAGTAATAATTATTATGATGGGAGACCAACCAGCATATTGTTATTATCAACTAAAGAAGAGTTGAAAGAAATGGAAAAATTTGGTTCTAATGACATTTATTCAAAAATGACAATATCAAACTCAAACAAAGCCATAGTAAAGTATGCTGAATCAACACCTACTACAGGGTTAATTGATATTTGATATTGACTTTAATTTAAATTGATTATCACAGGTTAAATTGATTGAGTAAAATTTAAATTTGAAACTTATTTCACTTCATTAGAAAACTTTAATAAAACAAATTGATGTTAAAATGTTTGATTTTCATATTCTAAGGAATATTTAGTTTATAAAAAACAATAATTAGGTTAATCCTAATTACAACTCCAATTTTCTTCTAGCATGCATTTGCTCGAACATCCATCACCATTATCTTGATTTCCATCATCACATTACTCAAAAGTTGATTAATACGCATCTCCACATTTTTCGACTTTGATTACATTGAATTCATCATTTTCACCTGATTCATCAATTAATGCTTTTTGACATTCATTTATAATTAAATCATATCCTTCAGTACATTACTAGCACATACCTTGAACACATTTACTACAATTCTAATTGCATTAAAAGAAACATTAATGACAACCATCGAATTGAATATCATTTAAATCTTCACATTCCTCTAATTCTTATATAATAATTCCATCTCCACATATTGGTTTACATTAATTTTTTTCAGTCAAATCAAAGTTTTCTACACATAATAAACAATTATTTGAACTATCGCATTAGAAACAATATGAATTACATTCGAAATTGCAATTATAGCATCCATCATTAGGTTGATAATTTCCATCATCACACTACTCTAATGAAGAGATAGCCAATAATCCATCTCCACATATTTAATAACATTTTTAATCTATCAGCTACCAACCATCAATACAAGAATAGCATTATTATTGGATGCATTAATTACATTCTAATTAGCAACTTAATTAACATTTATAGCAACCGTCGAATTGAATATTATTTAAATCATCACAAATCTCATTTTCAATAATAATTCCATCATCACATTTTGGAATGCACTTATTCTTGTTTTAAGATGGCTTATAAAACATTTAACATTCTAAGCATTAATCAAATTAACTAAATAAGCAATTTTCTATTGTTTTTCTCTTAAAATAATATCTATAGATATCATGTATTTATAAGGGTTAATTCAAAGTGTAAATGGGTTTTGGCCACTCATGAGTAAGCTAATATTCTAATAACAATTGATATTCAACTTGGCCATAACATCCATAAACTAATAAATTAGAAATTGAATTTTAGAGTTCATGTAACGATGGTTCTAAACCAATAATATTATTTAATTCATAACATCTATTATCAATTACTTCTTAATTTGATTAAAACCTCAAACATTTTCCAAACTCACATTATTAGCAAAAAAAAGGGCAAGAAAACCTGCATTAAAAACAGCCATCATTTGATAATTGATTTGCATCATCACATTGTTCTTATCCTTAAATGATACCGTCCCCACATATTGGATGGCAATTCTAAAGTGAGTCATCTTAAATCCAACCCTCTTAGCAATTTATACATTAATCGCCAACTTAATCTAAACAGTTTAAAATAACATTATGAATTATTATTATTGCTTGCTAACTGTAAAATATTTCAAAATCTCTTATAAATCCAATACTTCCAAATATATGGGGTCTAATTTCCAGTTAGAATAGAAAATCAGGATGATTTTTTATTAATATATCTACTTATCCATATCCACTATTGATAATTGTGTAATCATAAGTATAATCTAAATAGAGAGAATTCCTTATTCTAAAAAATCTTATCAATATATCTTGATGAGAAGGTAGTATGACGGAATAAGTGATTAGATTAAATTCTAAAAATTAGCATTCCCCACAATCCCAAAACTACTGATATATCAAACTATAAGACCATCCATCAGAATTTGCTGGAATGGCTTACTAATTAAATGACTATTAATGGAGTTTCCATGATAAGCACTAACCTTAATATTTGTTGAAGCATTCTGCACAATGATACTCACATTTTGTACTTAATGATAATTTTATTAATCCGAAGTTGCTGTATTAAATTCTCATCGATAAACTTCTTCTGTTATGCAAAAGACTAATTGAAATACTATACACAAGTTAAATTATTGATACACCACAAGTGAAACTATATTATGATTATTTCTCTATTTAATAGTTTTCTTATTAAAGATCTAAGTAAAAAGTATTAAAACCATTCTCAAAACTATTAATAGAAAAATAATTATCATTACATTATAATCTCTGCGTCTACTTAAATATGAGAATGAGGTTCGAGGTTTAAATATAATTGGTTAATATTCTGATCACTTGAATAAAAATAGGGAATTCCTCCGCAAGAAGAGAATTAATAATTCTGATGCTCTGATATCCAATCTAATATACATTTCAATTATTACTATCAATATTGTTATCCTTTGCATCAAATTAATATATAACAGTTTGATGGGTTAAGAATAGTAAATTCATGAATGTAATCATGAGTAATTAATCCATACTTAGCATATTAAGAATTAATTGACTATAATTTAAGATTAATATTAATGTGTTATATCAAATAGATGGGTTAAAAATACTACTTATAATATTTCACTAATCATTTGAAGCCATAAATTAGATGGCTATATAGAATCGTGTAATTAAATTACAAAACGATTTTTTTATCTTAACCAAGATTTCTTCAAGTTTTCATAATGTTTAGCAATTACTTACAAGATAAAACCATAAATTATATGATAATTCAAGCCAAATCCCTTTAGTTGAAATTTGCAATATAGGAAATTAAATGATGAAAATTAATTGAATTAAGGTCTATCGTTTTAGTTTGAAAAATCTTTTCTATCCCAATAAATTGATATAACATGTAATATAATCATAATACATATTTTGTCAAGAGAAATTGATACTTTTCCTAATTGCTGGAAATATGATTAAATCATACTCACAATAGTATTTAGGGAACACAAAAAAAAAGTAACATAAAAACAAAATATTCAGTAGAAATCATTAAAGTTGAATACTCAAAAAAATCTTAGCAGCTTAGCAACTCCAAATTTTTTATCCCCTATGTCATTGTAAATAATTATGGACATTTATTTTAATAAATACTTCCGTTCTATCATAAATAAGCCCTAAAGGCCTTACTTACTGACAAAAATTAATTAATTAAATCGAATGTAAACCAATAAGGTTAAAGTGAACCTTATTATAAAACAGATGAAGCAAGACTAAAATCTAAAATGATTGTTATATTTTATTTATTCAACCAAATAACACATGAATATCATAAGCAAATCAAATCAAAAATATAATGAGTTATTAATTATGTGATTTTATAATTAAAATTTCTGTAATTGTCTATGTAATTAAATTAATCTAAATGATAACTCAATGTGAATAATAGAAATATTAAGAATTAAAAATGATAAATTAATCAGTGCTTTAATGTACCTTATAGATTATTTTAGCAGGTGTGGAAGAGCTCAATTCTTATTTATCAACAACAACCTGGTATTTGAAATTATTTTCTTAAAATGTAAATTGGATCAAATTTCCTAATGATTTGAGTATAGAGAGTACGCGTCATTAAGAGTAGTGTTTGTTTAGAGGAAGAAGACTTATAACTCAAGATAGAAAGGAAAAGCCTTTAATAGACCTTGAATGAGTGATTGGTAGGAGAAACATAAGAAGCAGTTTCCAACGTAGAGGTAAAAGGAGACCATCTCCTAAATTTATAGCAAGGTAACAATTAGACATCCGAAGAACGATAGAGGGAGGAGTTATTCTCGCCTTTGTACTCTCATAAGGATGGAACCCTAGAAACATTCTTGCTGAGATCAATTCTATGCCTATGATCTTGTCTCGATGATGAAAAGGATCATTGCACTTTCGCCGAAATTTCTGAACAAACTAAATCCACTGATGAGTAATTTACCCTCACCCATGCATTTCTAGAAAATAACTCTAAATCTAAGCTTGGCTTGATAGTGAATCATAAAGTAGAATGAAGGGTTCTGCAACAACTAAGTTAAAGAAGTACAAAGAGTATAGAGAGATTTCATCGAGTTGGATCTAGCTGCAATGTGGAGCTCCGTTGGCTTTCTTACTTAGGCATCAATAAATCAAAGAACAAGACTATCATGAAACATATGATGGAAAACTATATTAGAGTGAAAATTTTTGGGGATGGATTTTTGAAAGAGAGGTAGACAGAAATATCATGTATAAAAGTTCTGTTGACTCTTATTCCCATTAACATTGATAGTCGTATAGGTTATCAGTGGAGCTTTTCCATTACGCTGTCCTATCTATACCAAATATTTCTGGAGCTGGTTGGATGTCCTGATTTCTCAATACAATAGAAATTTTTCTGCTCTTGAAACTCATATTTTTATTCAATGAAAGCTGTAAATTAAAAAATGTAATTTTGTCCATGCATAATTGACTTATATTTAACATCATCCTCAAAGAAATTTATATAGAAACTATCTGAAATAGATTATCCATTCACAAGTTCTCATTAGACAAGTGACAAGTTCTCACTAAAATAAAATATTTTCTGCAATCATACTGAAGAAATAGCAGATTTCCATCCCTAAATAATTCATACGTGAAAATTGATATCACACTTAATAATAATTTATTTATGTAAAAGAGACAAAATTTTATTTCCATGCTTATTGGATATATCTTTCCGCCCTTAAATATATTTTATAAGAGGAAGACTTATTTTTTTAATTGGATCATAGAATTAAAATACAAAAAAGAAATATTCTTTTAAATTTAAGAGTTTTCTATTCTCACTTAGAATAGTATCGAATCATCAGGATTAAACATGGTTTAATAATAAATCGTCTAGATATCAATTTAATCATGTACTTAATTAAATACAATATCAATCTCAAATTCAATCATAGCAATACTTGGATCAAACAATATCATACTAAAATAGCATATTTACTCGATCAGGTTTTTATTCTTTAGTAAAAGAATAGAATTCAGTTTATTTTTCTGAATATAAGAACAATAAATTTGGGCAGATTTTATCTTAAGTTTTTTTCAATATTTAGAATTCATTTATTTTCAAATATTGAAAATACTTTAAGAACATTTTTTACAATGTTTTTAATTTGAAATTAAGCCAGTCAAATGGTCTTATTTGATATTTTCAGCATATTTTGTCAAAAAACGTTCAATACTATAATCCTTAAAGTCTATTTAATAAAAAATCTCATTTACACAAGGATATTAAATTACAACACAAAAAAGTAGAATTAATAAACGATGAGTATGAAATAATTTTGATCTAGATAAATATCTGAATTTAAGGCATTTTAAATATGTGATTAAACTAGGTAAAATTCTTTACTGTTTAATCTAAGTTAAGAAAATCAAACTAATTTATAAGTTGAAAATCAGATAAAAAGGACAATTTAATTGATTCAATTAAAGAAGGAAAATCGGAAAATTTGTCTCTCTCCATTTAGGTAAGTTGCTCAAGAGATCCGTTTATCGCATAGCTATTATAAAAATCAACCAATATTTGTATTAAAATTTTGCTTCAAAGTATATTTAATAGTTTTTAATAATACAGAAATTTTAAAAAGGAAAGGAATATATTTGTATACAATATTAGAATTTAAATAGCTGATAATTCAATCCTCAGGTTTATTAATTTTATCAGTTCTCCTTTCCAAACATGGAACAATTTTAATTTTAATTTTTAATTAATATAAAATTTGATAACCTTTGAATGGAATAGTCGTATTACTTAGATTTGGTCTTACTTTTGTAATTGATATTTTTTTAAATCAAAACTAATTTAAAAAGAACTGCTAACCTATGATGTTTAAAAATAGAAATATTTTATATTATATGCATTCTTTTCATTTAAAATACGTAACCCAAATAAGGTTTGTTAGATTTCAGATGTTATCAGATATTCATATTCAAGATAACAGCAAATTATTGCATTAAATCGTTCTGAATAATATAACTACTTATGTAATTCTAAAATTTTCATAATTATTTTTATAAAATGAATAATATGAAAATATCATTTATAATACGATTTGCAATATTTTGTTATAAATCTATAAAGTAATGTATTTAAGAATTATTGCAACTTTGCAAGGAGAAATTCTGATTAAAAAAAATAATTTTAAAATTTTAATTTATCTACATCACAATTCAATTGAAATTTACTTGTTAATCCTTTGAAAACCTAACAAAATTAGTCAGTCAATAGTGTATAACGTCATCATTCATTTCAACAGAAGGCTCACTTAAGAATAGCAACAGCTTGCAGAAAATTAATAACGGAAAACCCATCATAGATATTATGCAAGCTAGGCATTTCTGCTTAAAAGTTTATCTCTAATTAGCAATAACTTTCTTCTTTATCTTCTGCATATCTCACATACATAAATCTCGGAAAGTTATTAATCATTGCCATCACATTCAAACTTTTTCATATACAGAGTAAACCAATAGAGTGAGCCATCAAAAAGAGAGTAGATTGACCCAAAAATTGACAGTAAAGAAGGATAAATACCTTATATTAAATTATATTAGCTTATCTCCACATATATGCGAATTTAGGACTTAATCATTTAGAATTTTGCAGGACCATCGTTTCTTCTTTCATGGAAGGTCATCATGGTTTAGCTCCTTTTTATTAGACTTATTATCCTTAAACCCTTCTAATATCATGCCATAATTATCAATCAGTACCTTAATCTAATTTTCATACTTAAGAACTAAATCTTTATCTCTTTAAATAATTTATGGGTTTCTAAAAGAGACGTTAATCAGAGAATTATTTCTCCTAATCCTCCAGCATTATTCATCACTAGGTTTGATAACTAATTTTTATTTTTAAAGTAGTCCTACAGGTGTGATATATCTCTTTAAATTATAATACATCTATTTTTTTCTAAGATTTACACCTAATTCCCAGTTTATTTACTTTTTTCATTTCTCTCTGATTAATTTAATATTATAATCTTATCTACATTTCCAAAAATTAACACTATAATTACTATATTTCCCTATAATTACATTCGAGCTAAATTCATTAGTTATCAATTAAAAAATCCTCCATAATTTGAGCTTATCCTTTCTGATTGCTTAATTAATCTTAATCAGGGAGTTGATTAGGCCTATTCATCTTTATCTATTTTAAAATGGTATTTCTGTTTCCAAAGTCTTATTTTAAGCTGATATAACTGTTTTTTAGATCTCCTTTCAAATGTCCCTAGCCTTAAATGATAATATAGATTCCCTTTTTTCCAAAAGGTCCTCAAGATCAAATTTTTGTTTTATTTTATCCAAATTTTTATATTAGCTTCTTTGGCTAATTATAATTCCACCTTGAAAAGTGGATGCAATTCTGTTATAAGAAAATTGCTAGGGTGTGTAAAATATCTTGCTTGGCTTGAGAATACTCCATTTTCGTGAACAAAGATTAACGTCCCTACTCTTTAAAGTTCAGATATTGATTCCTCTCCTTATTACTATAGATTTGGAAGATTAATTTCATGATTTTCCAAATCATTTTGATTATGTCTGATCGGATTTAATATTTTGATGTAATTATTTTTTTCTTTTGAAAAATTATACTATTAAAAAATTAAAAAAAAAGAAGATTTATCTTGTTAAAATGCTTTTTTATGAAAATCTCTCCAAATACCCTTTCTTCCTTTATTCAAATAAGTACTTTTTGTCTTTAAGGTTAACATTGTGAGGTATGTATAAGGGTGTACAATCAAATTATCTCATTCCCAGACCGATAATTGAATTCGGTAGATAGCATTACTTAGATCACGCTCAATCTCTAATCCTTGGGTTCCATTTTTGCTAATGTCTTAAGAACAATAGCTTTAATTAGCCTTAGTTTCAACATTCCATCCAAGTTTGTTCTTTACCGTTTTAACACAAGCCAGGTTGAAAATAATTAGAATGAAATAGAGAAAAAAAACAATTTTTAAATCTCATTTCTGTAAGTATGAATTGAATTACTTAAATTTCCATAGATAATTTTGTTGTAATTATTTATTACAATTAGAATTTAAGATGATAATAAATAAACATTTATTAAAATCAATAATGGGAATATCACAAAAACACCTCTCCATAAGATTTTGCCTTAAACTATGTACTTTCAGAATTTGGGATAATCCAAATGTTATTGAATCGATAAGATAATTTAAATTGCTTATAGTTAAGATATTTTAGAATCGAATGATAAGGGGTTAAAACTCATTTTGCTTCAGATTTTATGCAATGTTAACTAAAAATTTATATTTAGGTTGGGCTCTCACATATTGCTATATATTAATTGCCTATGATAGCAGATTTTGAATTTACCTGGTACATAATAACAATAAATAAGTGAAAGTAAACTTATTCATTATCGTTTAAAATAAGACAATAATTATTCTTGATTTGTAATTAAATTCGATTTTAATTTTGTTTCCTTAATTTAGCTTTTATCTCATTGAAAAATAATCTGAGAAGCAATTATCAATATTTAAATTCTAGGGACCTTTAATAATATGTTTTATATTTGATTATGTGACTCGTTCAAGTTACTAGATCTATAGCTATATGATTAAAAAAAATAAAACCTGATTATATGATCGTGGGTTTTTCAATTTAGGTGATACCTACTTTTCAGATGTTGCAATCGAACACCATGTAATTTCAAGTATGTACTTCAATGATTAAATTCTAAAAAAATTTTCTTGTGTGAATTATTATTATTGTATTAATTTTGACAAATAGTAAAATACTATCTTTTGAAAAATGGAAATAATAATAATTAACATATAAATATGATACTGCTTCAAAAAGATTAGAGCTATTCATAACAATTTGAATTAAATCTATCAATATAATGATTAAATGAGAATAAAATTATAATAACCAATGGTATTTGAAAGTGATGTAGAAAAATTGACTAGAAACGATTGTGGATATTCTTGCATTAATTGAGTTTAAATATTAATAGGGTTGAATACAAATTAATAAAGTACAATAATGAAGAGAAGTTTCATAAATTATTGAGAATAGTAATCTAATAATAACCTATTTTGAAAATTATTGCAAATGTAAATTTATTTTCTCCATAACAAACAAAAACATCTTTTTGTTATGGAAAGTGTATGTTAATTAAAAGTAATTAAAAATTTAGTTAATATTTTCCTATTGAGATCTTATTCCTATTATTTAAGAAGAAATGAATTTCTGTGAGATCAAAATTATTTGAGAATTCTTGTAATACGTAGTTCTCTTTTTATCATGTGAATTTTTAGAACTTAATAAAACTTGAAATTTAAATAAGGGCAGGAATATGAATATCATCATATATATACACTATTATTTTTTGTTAAATTAAATTATAAAATTATTAAATTATATATTATTCATTTGTTGAATAATGTTAGTATTTCTACTTTTGACTTATAACCTAAATTCACACATGGATAAAGATCTTATGATGTGTCTATGTTGAGTGTCTTAATATAGGGTTGAATATTTACGAATGATTCATTTGTTGATTGCTTAATCCATTTAATATACTTATTTGTAATATCAACTTCCATTATTATCATATCATTTGTGGTGAATTTAAATGATAATTATTTATCATCTTTATCTTATTAATCATGATTGAAACATCTGCCATCATAATATATAAAATATGTTCTATTATAAGATACTTAATTATAATAAATACCCTTTTCCAATACGATAAGCAGTTTGATAATTATTCTTTTATATAATATCTCTAAAACCTATTCCTAACATTACTTAAATATTATCTAATATTTTAAATGCAAATTTAACTAATCCATGTTTTGGAATCATTTAATCGCAAATACAACAAAACCAATTACCATTATTAGCAGTTTCGACAACAACCTTTCCATTTTATGAAATTTAACAACTATTATGTTTAAATGATTATGAAAATGTTAAACTTTAAGGATATTAATCTAATTACTACTACTAATAGGATTTATAATATCATACTATTTAAATCTATCTTTATAAATATGTTATATCTTGAGAATCTTTTTGTAACGATTTCAATTAATCTAATGTATCTTATAATTATTTATTAAGTTTCTTAATATCATTTTCTTTATTTTTCAATAATTAATTAAGATTAGTAATTTAAGAAATCTCTAAAATATATAAAATATAATAAATTACAATTATTACAATCTTCTTGTGTTTTAGTTAAATTATTTAGAGTAGATTGATTTTGTTTATTCAAAATGTCATTTTACTTAATTGAATCATCATATTTGAATTATAATGAATTTAATAAGGATTCTAATTTTGATTAATTGTCTTAAAATTAAATAATTTTTAATGAATTTGAATCAATTTCATTTTATTTAGTTTTTAGTTCTTATTACAATTAATCAACCATTAAAAGTCTTTTAATTTCTATAGTATCTTTTATGAATTTCTAAATTGTTCCTTCATATTGTTCATTAATTACAATATTAGATTCAATAATCTTTTCTTCATTTAATTATTATTCATTATTGATAGTTTATTGTTGAATTGATAAATCAGAGATATTTTAGATAATAGATTTATATAAATTCAAGGCTTAATTGAAAATGCCATGATAAGCATCAAACTTTTAGATTTTCCTTAGAATTTGATTCATATTTTAGATCTAAATATTGTTTATTTTTGAATCTTCAATTTAGATTGTATTTAAAATAGATTAATCGTTTTTGAAAATCTTCAAGATGTCTTCTCTTTTTAATAATTCAAATTCAAATAAGCTCATTAGATTATTAATTATTAAATTATATTTAATTTAATCTTCTTTTTCAATATTAATTTATTAATCTTATAAAGCTTTAAATTTATCTTATTTACTTAATATTAAAGTAAGTTCATCTATTTATTCTTAATTGAATTCATAAATATCCATTTGATTTGACTGATTAAATTATAATAATTGAGTTAATTATTATTCATTATTCAATTTATCTATCAATTCATTTAATATTAATGTATATTATTCTCTCATTTCCTTTAGATTTTATATAATCATTTCTTATTAAAGTGATCTTTGATTTTAAAATAATTTAATTTTATCTTCAGTTTTACCTTTAAATTCATCCCATTTAATCCCTGCATCTTATAATGAAGTGTATTTAATAGGATTATTATAATGTATACAATCAACACATGCTAATCTTGAAGTTTAAGTTTCATTTGGTTCTAAATTCAACATTATTATTTCTTTTCCATGTTTATTGCATTTGATATTGAGAGATGGTGTTTTCTAAATATTAATATATATATATAATAATTACTGATTTATCTAATTGTTTCTCTTTTTATATACTAGATACTTTAATTTCCTTTGACTTTTCAATTTTTTGATTCGATTATAATATATCAATAACTTATGTATATGAGTGATTATTTGTAAATGATTAAAACATTGATTAGAGAGAATCATAAAATTGATTATCATCTTCTAATTTATCAAATTCTATAGGAATTTCATAATTAAAACTTCCTTTATAATTTGATGATAGAATTTCAACTTCATCTTCAAATTTATAAATTTTAGATTTTTAATCTAATTCTTCTAAATCCTTTTCAATTAATTATATTTTCTAATGAATATTAATTATTATCTTTTCAATAACATTCTCAACTTAAACTTTGTATTCTTTAATCAAACATTGAATTTATTTAAATGTTTCTATTCTTCTTTAATTTTCCTTAATTTTCAGTGTTTATTATTCACTTTTCATCTCCTTAATCATAATTTTAGTCTCATCCACCAAAACCATATTTTATATATCAATCTTCTCTATTAAACACTTTATACAAAGGTATTTCTCCTCCTTACTCGTTGATTACTTTAAATCAATTGTTGTTATCTCCATCTAATGTTTTTAACAAACCTTCCTCTCCTATTCCAAAGACATCTACAAATCTTTTATTTTTTATTTATTTATATTAATTAATATACACACAATTCATAATAT